AAGTGGTCACCCACGGACCTCCCCACGGAAATCAGCTCACGGAGGCGGAAGCCGTATCGATTGTGGGCATCGAGCAGGTTTTACCCAAGCCGCATAACTGCTCCAAGGGGGAGAACTGCCCGAAGTACCGCAGGTACATGCGTCAAATGGAGAAGCTTAGTGCGGAATATCCAGGCGCTATGCTTGTTCCCGGGGGACGGATTGTTACTGGCAACCCTGGCAACCCCGAGACTGCAGCAAATATGCTGCGACCTAGGTCTGACGCGGAGCCTTCTGTGGTTGCCTCGTCAGATGTTCTCGGGCCTCAGCCTACTCCACGATTGTCGGAGGAAGCCCTCAGTGGGGTGCAAAAACTTGACCCTCATGAGAAGATGCGTCAATACTTCAGCTATCAGCACATCGATCCCCCATCTGGATCTGATTCGGAGCCAGAAATGTACCCCGAGGAGGATACACCAGATGAAGCGGCGCCCGTCATGCCGCCACCTCCCCCACGGACAAATAATATGACCGCCAACCTCCGCAATCTTCCCAAACTTCAAATTCCGACAGACTACGACTCTGACGACATTACAACCGCCGTTACTACTCAACGGACGATCACCCCGTCCATGGCGAAGGGGGCATATGGTTCACCAACGGCGGTTCAGCAATATGGACCGTTCAGCAACGCACGGCAGATGCAGTCTGTCGAGTGCTTGCGACGAGGAACCCCGTTCACTGAGGTGGACGTTCCCGTCACAGCCGAGCCTGTGGGACCTATTGCTCGCGAGACGTCCCAATCTGTCCCTCCAGATATGCGCTACGGAAATCTCATGCAACAGCAGCGCTACCGCTCAGCCACGCGCTCTCCTGCGGTGCATCGCCAGGCCAGCATGTCCTTGCGTCGTGTCAAGGAGAACAAGCCGTTGACTCCAATTGAGGACCCGTCCGATCTGAGACGCAGCCCACGCATTGGCCACAAGCTGGGTAACAATACCATGGTCGCTTCGGTTGACCCTGATGTGACCCGCAGCGGCTATATGAAGAAGCGGATGCCAGCCCGCTTTCTCCGACACGACTGGCATGAGGCACACTTCACCCTTCGGGGAACCAATCTGGAGATGCACCGAGATGAGCTTGCTGCCCTTCGACACTCCAAAGCCTTGGAAGAGATTGATGTCGACGAGTACGCCGTCGCCTGCTCGTCGCTGGCCTCGAGCTCCAAGCTTACCGCTGCGCTCAAGAAATCAATCCTGCGCAGCGGAAACAACCTCAAGGGCGAAGACGCAGCGTTCAACTTTTCTCTTGTTCCCGCGTCAAAGGAAGGCCAGAAGAAGATGCTCTTTGGCAGCAAAGATGTCAAGCCACACCACTTTGCGGTCAAAACTCGCGATGAGCGCATCGACTGGATGCGAGATATGATGCTTGCCAAGGCCCTCAAAAAGGGCCGTGACGAAGGTTATGAGGTGCGCCCTGAGGGCAACTTCATTTAACCTAACTCGCAACTCCCCCCAGCGATATTCGATCTAACAACCCGTGTATTCTATCTAGCCACTGGACCGCAAATTCTGCTATGTTTTTCTTTATAACGACTTAACGACAAGAAAGTACTGTCGCGGGCCGGCAATACCCACCCAACCCATATGATATACCCCACGAGATGTCATTATTTCTATATTTCTGTTTGAATTTTGCATGTACGAGCACTAAATTGTTGGAAGTACGGGGCACTGTTGGTGTTCGTTCAGTGGGGGTCATGTTTTGCATATACACATATCCGCCCACACGGGAGACACTGTAGGTAGCTAATATTGCGGGATAGCCTAATGCCAATAATTAGGATTTGGAAGAATTCTTGGTTTACGAGTAGCATTTAATTCACTGTGTATGTCTCCGAACAGCCAAGCACCCTAGAAAGGAGGATTGGTCTGTTCAGCCATCCGGATGCAGCGCGCAATTTGGGAGGTCACATTGCCAACCTTCCACTGTAGCACATGAAGCCGGCGAGCTTCCGGGATTCACCCCCTCTCAGACGACTAATTATCAGTTACAGCACCACACGGTCCACACCGCAGCACATACAGTACATCCATTGCCTCTGTGCCCAGCGAAAATCTAATCTGTCCCAATGACCTTCTTTCGGAGAATCAAAAGATGAGCAACGTACAGTGGTAAGAAAACACTGGGCAAGTGCAGTACATCACCCCTCTTTCTCGCTGTAGATAGACTACTAGGTTACAGCACAACTCGACTCCGATACATCCATTTCGGTGGTGGGGGTGGCATCTTGGATCTGGCCCGGCCGTCATCCCCACCAAAAACCCCGGGGCCCAAACCTGATACGCCAGATTAAGCGCCGGCCACGACCCAATCACACTGGCTTACTGAACATCACCCCCGTGAGAATCTGACTCAATCCACGGTTTAAGGTACCTACTATGGACCTAGGGTACGGTATACCTAGGTAGTGCTATACAGAATGGTACTCCGGTAGGAATGTATCATCCATGGATTCGACGAGTCCCGTAGTCACTGTAGTCACCGGAGTCGTGGCGTAGCACTGTAGCGCTGTAGTACAGTCGAATAGAGAGATAGTTGACCAACCCCAAGCATGCATGCAGGACGAGAAGTGTGATGTGATGAGATCCCGTCCGCTACGCTCGAGCCCTTCATGCACACGTACTCGTATGGACGTATCAACTCAGAGGATACGGAGTACGAGGGCATAATGCAGTGCATCATAAACCGTTTTAAAAAGGTGGCTGTTTGCCCGCGGCATCTCTTTCGCCTTCCTCATTGGTGAGGACCGAAATTCGGATTTTCTTTTTCTTTTTTTGCTTGACGCTGGATGTCTGTGCTTGGCTCCATGTACAGTACTTGCGGTATAGTATAGGATGTCGGCCCTCTCGTGCGGGGTAGAGCTGCGCTGGATCTGTTCTTGGGATTTCTAATTGGCGTCATGAGCGGGTGGAAGAACCTGTGCTTGCAGCTTTGAGCTATACTGGATGCCTAGTACTCGAGACGGCGGATTCGAAATGTATACAGATGATGCTCATGGGTGTGGTTGTCTGGACTGATGGGAGATTTAGGGTGGTGCGAATTCCAGGGCAGAAGCAGACGTCGAGGAAACGTGACAAGGCACGCAGTTGGTTGGTGCATGGATAAGTACTATGTACTGTACAGAGTAAGACAGACAGATCATTGCGTGCGCGGGACCTGCAGATATAGCCTGAGGCATACCAGGTGGTTGGTTGTGCAAGTGCAAGGGTCTAACGGAGAGGGGGCTGGGATTTATTCTAGGTTTTCTGGGTTATCAACAGGGGGATGATTCTACCATAAATACTGATTTGCTGTGTCTTGGCGGGAGTAAATTTTGGTGAAAGTATCAAGCAACTATAGTGGGACGTGGAGCTATTTCCAGGTCCGGGGATACACTACGGAATAGGAGATGATTCATGATAGTTGTACCGAGGTCTTTTTAGTTATATTGTGCATAGGTTAGAAAAGGCATTCAACTGGAGTCGAGTTTATTAGTCTTGTGTTGTGGTCTAGGGATTGTGAATATGATTAATAGGTACATCAATGGGTAGATTAGGAGAAGTTCTTGGATAAAAAGTGTAGAGAAAGAATATGAGAGGAAGGATCAATAGTAATAAACTACTAATAATAAGAGTTGTCTCTATTCACTTACTCTAGCCATTGTTCTGTTCACCCCTGTTTACTCAGTATAGTAAACAAGCTTGTTTCTTTACTACATGCATGGTTCAACGGAAAAGACCATTAAATCTTACAATAATTCACATTATGAAGCTTTTTGTCTCATTTCCAGTACGCTGAAAGTTGTTTACCGTGTCTAGTCTCCTATCATAGCTTTCCGTTTCTCTCCTCTTTCATACTTCCACTCTTCTACTCTGCAACTCTGCCGCTCTATTAGTATTCTGATCCTTCCCATCTACCAGAGATCTGGACGAACCTGCCATGGCTGTATCAAATCTTTATACTCCCTCAGGCTGGCTGAAAACCAGGGGCGTTATACCTAATTACTGATCTAGTGGCTACCGAGAAGCAGGTCTAATTCCACTAGAAAGCCATTTACTTACGATTCTCTTCGTGGTGACAGGTACTCCTATTGATACCATTCCAGACGTTGATTGCTCTCAGCTCGTACGCTATCATAAAACATATATCCTTTACGGTCTTCAACGTGATGTCTCAGAAGCTTAGAAACAGACCTCTAAGCAAGCGAATTTCTACCAGCGCATCATTCTCCCAAACCCTATGTTGCTTTTGACCAAGGTACTCAACGAGACAAACTTAAGGGAAAAGAAAAGCCTCCCACAGAGACCGACAACACATGCTCACCACTTATCATCCTCCGGTGGCTTGCTGACCATAATACTAACTGAGAAATACTGCCTTTGCTCAGTCTCGGTCATATAGACTTCCAAGCAACAATCTTTTTCGCTTCGAGATTTATCAAAGCTGAGAGGGATTTGCTCTCTTCGCCTTTGCCAAAACTGGACACACAGAACCAGCGGACAGAATGACCGTGTGTATCTCCGTATCTTGTGTCTCAAGGGACTCGCATGAGGAATCTCAGCGCGATTGATACAGGTTTCTGAGATATGTTATGTATGCACTCGAGAATATGGGCAAAGTAATTGCTCAACGTGATGCATACACCATGCTCATGTCAAGGCATCAAAACCAAATTGGAACATGCCCAGAGTCCCAGTGGATAGCCGATGGTCCTACCTGCCCCTCGCCTGTCTGTTATGAATTACTAGGAATCCACACAGCTAGTGTGCAACCTTCATGAAATCAATGCCGATAGTCACGTTATTAAGTTGAGGCAGATGCAGGATTCGCTAGAATCGGCAACCTACAACAAATTTCGTGCTGATGTGAGGGACATGCCGGTGACCAATTTCATCATTCACCGCGTTTTGACGTATCCTTGGGCTAAACCGAAGGTCACGAAGCTGAAGATGCATACTCCTGAGAAGATACGATAGCAACGGGATAATCTCCCGACGATGGTGGTCGCCGGCATTATCAAACGGTGCGTGTCTCCGTGGTCGTCGAAAACCACGTTTCCTCGGAAGTCAAATGGCGAGTTGAGAATTGTCCATCACTATCTTGCGTTGAATGATGCAATTGTTAAAAAGGCTTACCCGATGCGAAAATCGAACTTATCCTCAACAGCATGGTGTTAGCAAAACTCCATGTCTTCTTCAAGGCTGATGCAGCCAACGGTTACTGGGCAATTCCTCTTGCTGCTGAACATGTATATTAGACCGCGTTCAGTACCATTCTCGGGCAATTTTGTTACCGGCGCATGGGGGCCAGGCCTGACCAGAGCTTAGTCCAGTCAACAACAAGATACATCATATCAAGGAGATCACGTACTGCGCCTACAATGGTACCATGTCCTATCACGTCTTTAAGACGTTGATTGTTTTGGCTCCTGGATCTTCAGTTGAGCCCGACAGTCAAGAGATTACTCCTGTCATTCAGCGGTGCTTTTCCTCTGTGCCACTGCACTTCACCGCGTCAAGCGCGTACAACAGCTTGTTTACTTCATTCCTAATGCTTGTTGAGGTTTATCCTTTATTTGAAGCAACATCCCGGCCGATGATGGCCGGGTAGCTTAGTTATTGCTTATTAGTTAATAGTCTCTCTTCTTTCTTATTATTCTGCCTCAATCTGCCTGTCTCTTAGCTAGTGAAAATAATTAATCAGATTGCTTTATTTGATGGATTGTTCTACCTTCCTCCCTCCACATATTGGAGTCTTCAGTACGAACGTCTGTTCGTCTCGATGCATTCCAGACTGCATATTCACTCTATTTCCTATAATCTAAACTTATTTATTCATCGTCTCTAGACGCTATGTTTATCGTCTGTCTCGACCTTACGCCACCGTCTCTGGATCTATGACGATCTTGATATATCTAGCAGTCGAGGACACCAGCAGTTCTTAGAACTGCGATATCTGTAGCGGAACTCATGGTAGTCGATATTCGGCCATTAGCTAGCCTCTCTCTCGCGAACTTCCTTCCCTCAACAACTCAGCACAATTCATCTTGATACCTACGTTTCCTCGCCCATGGCGGTGTTCCGTGACATCTGGTAGCATCACAGGATCTTCCATCTCATCGGGAACCAACAGAATCAACATTATGATTCCCCGAACTTCACGAAGGGTTTATGCTACGCATATGCCGGTCATAATCCATAGATGCTCTTGGTCCCTGCTGTGAATAACGCTTCGGTTTCTGGCATGGCGAAAGGCTCCTTGCAATGCATATCCCGGACATATGATACCCCATGAGAGATGCCATGTGGTTTTCGCAGGGGTCACTTTTCACTTGCGGGTCCCTTTGGTTCTGTCTGAGATCCGAGTCGCCAGTCATTCTGTGCTATGCCCACCTTTTTGGCTTCGCTTGTTGGTATGTTAAACCCAAATGCAACCCTTACTTTCATCAATGAAAGCCTGGGTGGTTAGTTTTATGGCAAAAACCGTGCCCTTACGCATTGAAAGTCTACACAATGGTCCTGCTCTCGTATTGAAGGCAACTGAACTTCCGGCTGCGGAGTATCCAAGGCATTGACTAACTGATGCTAGTTCGTAAGGAATAATCATACCAAGCTGGAACAGACCACGTAGGATTGAAAGGGAGCAGCATTCCTCAATTCTTGACAGATCAACCACTGCACCTACCCTACTCACTCGTAAAAGCACAGCTCCCCATATCCAACTGCACCACATCCCCCTCCGGCCGAATATCAAAGTCAAAGATATCCATGGGCACCCCCAGCGTCGTGCACGCGTTCGGGATATCCACCAGCCCGGCGATATGTCCCTGCACCGGCGCGCAGCTCAGCAGCAGGTAGATCTGGTAATCATCATACCCATACCGACGCAAATACTCGATGACCCGCAGGCAGGTCTGGCGGTAAGCCACCGTGGCATCCAGGTAATGCTGCTTTCCGTTCTCATCGACCGAGAACCCCTCGAAGGTCAGGTATCGACCCGGTCCGAATTGCGGCTCCACGGGGCCCGGGTGGAAGATCGGGGACTTCATGCCCATCTTGGCCATCCCGCCCTTGAGCACGGTGAACTTGAGCGTGATGACGCCGGCCATCTCGATGGCGCCGCAGAACGAGATCTCCCCGTCGCCCTGCGAGAAGTGCAGATCGCCGACGGAGAACTTGGCGCCGGGGACGTGCACGGGGAGGTAAACCTTGGAACCGCGGGAGAGGTTCTTGATGTCGCAGTTGCCGCCGTGTTCGGGGCGGCCCTAGAGCGGAAATCAAGATTGTGTTAGCTTGAGCTCAGCTTCCAACTTCACCTCGTTTCACGGGAGCGCATGATGAGGTGAGGGAAGCATACCGGAATCGTCCTCGCCCCTTCTCTAGCGATCTTCCCCTTCAGACTCTCTTCGGCGCTCCCTGCATGCGCATTCTTCGGCTCGGGGGGCTTCGCCACATCGCGCTGGAGATCCGCGCTCGCCGCGATCAACTCCCCCTCCCGACGATTCCACTCCGCCAGGATCTCGGCGGACGGCGCGCAGCCCAGGATTCCGGGGTGGATCAGTCCTGCGAAGCGGACGTGGGGAATGTGTCGCGACGAGCAGAAGATCCCCTCAAAGTCCCAGATGGCCTTTGCTCTGCGGTATACTGCCAGTCAGTTCTAGGGCCTAGCCTCCCCTCCCAAATCAGATTGCGTATGGTAAGGGTCTGGCTCACGCTTTAGGATAAAGCTCGTCCAGAAACCCGCCTCCATTATTCTTGTCGAAGATCCCCGTAAACCCCCAGGGGTGATCCTCGAAGGGCTGAACGTCTTGAATCTCCACCAGCAGAACGTCGCCCGGCTCGGCGGTTTCGATCTCGAAGGGACCGGATAGGTAGTGGATCTGAGTGAGGTCGACATTCTTGACGTCGTCGGCGGAATCGTTGTTCTTGATCTGGCCGCCGGTCCAGTCGAGACATTCGATCTTGACGACTTCGTTGTTGGCGATTTTGCCGCATGCAGGGACTGGTTTCGTTTAAGTGAGGGTATGATTAGCATGGCGCTTGGAGATTATGTCAGATCAATAGAGACTGTGGCGGTACCATCTGGATGCCATCGGTTCTGCAGAATATCAGTATCGATGCGGAGACAGGAACTGTATCAGATCAGATGACACGCACGTGTAAGCCAGGCTGCTCCCAGGCGGGCTTGTCAAGATCAACCGTGAGCGCCGTGCGAATCTTCTTGTGGCCCATGGTGAGTACGATGTGATGTGATACTTCTGTTTGGTGTCTGGTGAAGGTCTTCGCAGATTTACAGCAGAAAGGAAGAATGAGTTTAGCTCTGCAGCAAACGCCCCTCCCCCGGGCTGACAGTCGCCAATTAAGTATTCGTAGCTGCACAATTCTCCCCTGCAGCTGAGAAAAACATTCCCCGCTGCAGCAGTTCAAAGAAAGTCTCGCTCAGACCCATGGTTATCAGCAGGTCAAATCGGAAATGAACGGGGAGGAATGATGAGGGGGAGGGAGAGAAAGTGGGACAAGGTTATCTTATCGGAGGGTCAATGACGCTTATCTGCGGGGAAGCTTCTCCCACCTCTTCCCATCTATTTTGCATTCAACTATTTCTGATAACGATATCGGAATTGTTACACCCATACGGCTCTTATAAAAGCCCTTTACAAATTTGCTCAAGTCACCCCAAATCTATACAGACCCCGGGTTGTCTACTCCGCCGCTCAGTCAAATCCCGGGGCACTCCCTCGATCCACCACCATCTAGGACAATTGCCGGCTAGGGGCATCAGGTGCCTTGGGCTTTTCCTCCTCTTCTTCCATGTTGATCTTGTCGAGTTTATCCAAGGGAAGACTCAGGAAATCGTGCTTGTTCTTCCAGGTCGTCTGAGTCTCAGCGAATCCCTCCTTCAGCGCAGGGCTCGGTGGGGGATCCGTGATCTTGGTGACCAGATAGGCAGTCGATGCCTGAGCCACGCCGTAAAGGAGGACTCCAATGAAGGGCGCCTTCATAACGTGAGTGAAAGCGAATGCGAAGCCGAACAAGACCCCTTCACGATCAGCAAACCAACGCTTCTTCTGCTCATGGGTGAAGGGCACACGGCTGAAGTAGGGCTCCAACTGTTTCTGCTGTTAGACAAATGAGCACGAAAGGGAGGCAAGACAAAAACCTACAAGTTCACGCATAAGACTGCGGGAGGCATAGTAACTGTGCAAGAACGAGACCACGTAGCTCTTGGGGAGGATGAAGCCGGCCCCGAAAATGACAGCCGCAGGGGTCGTTCCCACGGCGCTTTGGAAGGCGAAGAACGAGGCAGCAGGCATCACGAAAGGACCGATGACGGGGACCAAAGAGAAGAGGTAAGTGCCGAGGAGCAATCCAGCCCGCTTGCCGTACCGTCTGAGGAACATGAAGAATGCTGCAAGGCCGGCACCCTTGGGAGTTCTGACCTTGCCGTCCGCGGTGGTGTACATGGACAGGTTGGGGTAATACATCTCGCGCAGGTTCTTGGGGTCTTCATGCTTGTGCTTGTGCACGTAGGTCGCGTCAACCCATTTGAGGGATTCCATGAAACTAACTAATTAGCATACCCAATCCGACTGGATATCAATCACAATATTTGACTTACATCTCGTCCAGGGTGGGTGTGATATAACGCATTAGTGTCATGAGCAAGAAGGGCACCTGGAGCACGGAGTTGGAGATGAAGTCGAGACCCTCGACGAGAGAGTCATCCCAGGTGGCATTTTCAAGATCGAGAACCCATGAGAGGATCCAGAGAACGAATTTGACCCCAATGATCTAGACGTGATCTGTTAGCTTGGGGGCCAGATATCTCGAGGCTGGTAATTGGCACCGCTCATACCGGAATTTGAATGATAAGTTGGATAGCAATTCCAACAGCGACTGCAAAGACAGCCTGTCGAAAGTGGTTGTATTTAAATAAGTCGGGATTCCCCAGCGCGCGGACAGCTATAAAGCGATGGTCAGCGATCCAACTCTCATGCTCCGATGACGTAGGTGTTTTGCTCAATGCCGCCCATCGATCATTCTGCGCGACAGCAGGTCTGACAATCAAGAATTGAAAAAGCCAGACATGGGAAAGCAAGAGAAGCCATCTCAAAGACCCCTTTTCTGCTTCACATGGTGGATTCCATGGAGCCACAAGCAAGCTCCACGCGGCGGGTGGGCAGGTAATTGAGCGGAAGAATCTCACTCACTTCCAACAATGGTGAGCTGACAGCCGCGAATAACGGCGTTCGGCTCAAAGTTCGGCATGATGCTCGACTATACCCAGGAAGAAAGCAGATGTGAGCTCAGGGATAGTTGAGAAAGAAAGAATTGGACATGTAGAGCTATTTATAGTGGTGCGTTGGCTCGAGGGGGAACAGCCACAGGCAACCACATAACGGAAATGTCCAAGTATGGCTGTGATTGTGGATTGGTGCAACATCCGCTAAGCGCCGGAGCCAGCAGCCGGACTACCCGCCCAGCCCCACGACGCCACATCTCACGTGACTGTGTTGATTGCCTTACTGCCTGAGGCTATTTACATCATACTCCACACCAGCCCCAACAAGCTTGCAGCGTGCAGAGCGCAGGGGAGATCCGCGACTAGTCCAGATTGGTTTTTGCCATGATTATTCCAGTTTGAGTTCATCCATCCATCTTCCGGGGTCATTCGGGCTCGATTATCTCACCACCACCACCATCATTCTGTACTATTCCTCCCCCCCTCCTCAATATCCCTGCTGATCGTCTCTCCTTTTCCATTCTTGACACTTCCATATTTCACATCACCTGCACTTTTCTATCACCCTACACTTCTATTCAATGTAATCTTCTGTTTCGGTCTCTTTCTTTTTTCCCTTATATTCCCATCATCCCATATCCCCATGATTGAGGATGTCTGATTCCTCCGATGCGCCGCTCCCTCAGACCTTGTCCATCCGTCGGTCTGCTACTCTCCCCACCAAATTAAACCCGCGTACACGTCGTCACTCAGAATCTGTGAAACCGTCCGAGAACGATCTCTTCTACCATCCCTCCGCCAAAGTCGTTCATTTTGCCCCTAGAGCCCTCGCGCCTATTCCCTCGAGCACCGCGCCCGCGGACTTTGATTACCCGGTTGATACCGTTGAGACTCTTCCTTGGAGATCGCCTACCGAACGCACGGTCGCGCTCGCGCCTCTTCGTCTAGAAAATGTTCACGGCTTGACTGTCTTCCTGAAATGCGGCAATGTCGTCCACGCCATCCTCAAGAACTCACAATGTTGGTGCGTTGATGGCGAGTCGACTTTCGTCCTGCGCATCCGACCTCTCACCTACTATCGCATCGAACTGCCCAACCAAGTGGAGGACGATAGAACATTGGTCGCGGAAATGAAGAATGTGTTGCCGAAGATTCTCCGATATGAAGTTACGCCCTGTCCCTTCAAGAGGGGCTTCACCGTCGAAATCCCCGAGGAAGCCAAGGCGCCTAGAAGGAAGAGGGCATGGCGTCCCAAAGGGCGCAGAGAAAGCGCTCCCGTCCCTTCCATATGCAAGCAAGACCGACTTCAACCAAAGGATGACTTGGCGACTGACTCGCCTAGCGGTGGCGAAGACACGGACGGAGATGCGACGGACGATAGTGGCTTTACGACCAGAGGCAGCAACAGCACCATTTTAGAGACCATCGCAGACGATAATGAGTCGTCTGAGCCCATTCAGATCACAGGGCCAACTCAGCGTTCGGGCCAGTCCGTGGCCGAAACACAGCAGAACTTTCAGACCTTGCTGGCAAGGTTCGAAGATAGTGCTGAAAATCAGGTTGATCCTGAACTATCCTTTTCCTCTAGTGTGGAATCATTCCACTCACTTGGCCCATCTTTTACAGCTATCCCGGATTTGGACACCTGCTCTACTCCTGCGTCAAGCGAGAGTGACGACCACTATGACAATGAAAGTGGTGATGTTCACTCGTCTTCGGAAGACTCACATCTTCCCAAGTCGAAGCGCTCTGACAATAGGGTCTCTGTATACGTCGACTGTTGGGATCATATGTCGCCGGCAGACGATCTAGCAAGAGACCTTTCCGAGCAGGAGCCCCAACCGGTTACCATCACCCCTAACTCTCCTTCGCCCGCCCCAGAACCTACCGGGCTTGCTTCAAGCACCGACTCTAATTCTAATCTTTCCAGCATGAGCGCAGAATTTCGCCGTCGCTCCAAGGCATCCCGCCAGCGGGAGGTCTCTCCCATGCCACCACCATCTACTTTGACGCTTGCCAAACCTGAGAAGCACGATGCAGCTTCTTTGATTCACAAAACCGCCTCACTCGTCTTGGTCCCTCCCATTCAGCTCCTGGTCGTGCTCATTCATATTGCTGCCCGGATTGTTATCGGGCCTGCTCTGAACTCGACTATGAGGGAGCTCAAGCGCAACATCGAGGACCAATTAGCTGAAGGTCAGGATATTGTGGATGATTTCGATCTTCCTCTTCCTGATTGCTTTAGAAGGTCCGAGGAGTCCACTGAAAAAGACTCATGATATGTGGGCGGAGGTAACGGCTTCGCTGGCTCACCATACTATTCTTTCCCAGTTCAACATACCACTCTTTGGCACATTTCCTTCACTCACATCCGTCAGTCATGATATTCTTGTTTTATTCCCACACACGCCTTCATTCTGTGATGATCTGTCTACATGAATTTCCGTTATCCAGTCCCATGCATGGTCCGGGACACATTTGATTTGTGGGTGGGCCAATCTGCATTGGAAATGTACCCTAATGTCTTTATTGTATTCTAGCGTGTACCATCAATTATACTTAATTTGTGAGACATTTCTTTTCTAGACATCTGAAATCATCAACCTGCCAATCAACTTTCTGCCCATTGTGATTTGATAAGTAGGGTACTACTGTAGAGACGCAACACGGACCTCCGGGGTTGAGACCTGAACGAATGGTATGATCTAGATTGGGGACAAAGAAAGTTGATAGGTCACATTAGCGTGAGGGGAGGTGGAATCAACAGTAAAGTTACTAGGTAGGTAAGCGCCCGCCCACGGCAACAACCTAAGGTCCCCGTTCCCCATACTTAAACGTTAACTTATCACCATCGAACCACCTCCCCTCCTCGAATTGCAGCGCGTAGTAGTTACTCGCTACTACGTCCATCTTCACCTCCTCCTTTCTCATTTCCTCCTTCTCACCCCCACCCCAACTCCATCCCCCGATTTCCCCTTCCCCCTCTATGCACGCCACACCACCACAACAACCATGTGGCGGAAAGTCCCCATGCGCATCCGCCAACAAAGCCGGGTCTGGCTCACGGCCCTCCACGCCTGGTGGAAAGTGCCCCTGAAGTTCCAGCAGAAACGGGTCCTCTTCCTGGCCAGCCTGATCCTCTTCACCGTCCCGCCCATCCGCCAGCGCGAGAACGGCTACTACCGCTTACCGGCCCCGGGCTTGCCCGCCTTCCCTCGCCTGCCGGTCTCCAAATAATCAAATCACGGGGTTGTTTGTCGTTTGGCAGAACGATGACAAACCGGGGGGTATATCGTCTCGATCACGCGGTTTCTCTATGTGGTTTGTCTGGGGTAGAGGGTTTTGGGGTTTGCGGGGGAAACACTATGGCATTTACACTGGGGGGTGGGGGCTCAAGCTTGAGGATGGCTTGTGGGGTTGGCTATACTGTCGGGCTTTCGAATTGGAGAAGTGGTGAGAGATTGGACATTGATGATCGACACGGCGGGGACTTCTGGTTATCTCGTTGGAGGGTTGGCTCCTGGGTGGTGGTGGTTGACTATCTGGTGGGGATTGCGGCATTGATAAGGGGTCGGTGGGTGGGTGCTTGTGTAGAGGAACGGCCCATTCAGCGCGTATTTCCTTCCAACCTTACTTATTTTCTCGGTCTCTATTGGGTTGAACTGTGTCACGGGCTGGATTCCTGGGTATACTGCGGCTCTTTGGGGTTTGTCTTTTGCTTGATAATGGAGGATGATGATTGGCTTCACAGGGAAGAGAGACACGTTGTCTTAGGTAGAGTGTGTTGAGGGACGGATCCGTGACTAGGGAAGGGCAAGGGGTTGATTGCCGAGGAGATGTGCTGTGCAACTCTGGGTTCTTCTTTGGTGCATGTAGAGATTTGGATGGCCCTTCTTGATATCCATCGGTACCTTCTGGCAGGGGGCCATGCTGTCATGCTTCGTCCTTAAGAAACCCATAGAGGATGCTCATATACTACACAATTGATGGCTCGAGAACTCGGTTACTCCATACCCAGTTGCATGAATATCAGTTGATAAATGAAAGAACAACAAAAGAGATCGACCCATGAAACGCCAATAAATGCAATCAAATCAACCATACAATGAATAAGCACAGCAGATCATTCAGCATATCCTCCAACCCCTCAAACCTTCCCATATGCACCCAACCAACCCCAAAGCCACAGTCCATAATCCTACCTCAATAGGATTTCGACTTCACACCCAACAACTAGAAATCAAGCCTTCTGCACCTTCCCCCCAGCCTTCCCCTTGGCAGTCTTCTTCTTACTGCGATCCCGCTTCTTCAACCCCGTCATCCCCGCCTTACACACCTCCGCATACCGGGCGTAGAACTCCTCCAACTCCTCCGGGCTCACCACCGTCGACAGCTTGACTTTCTTGGCGCCGGCCGCCGCTGTCTTCTTGTCGGTATTCGCTTTCTTCGGGTTCGGGGCGCCGGTGTTGCCGTCTGTTGCGCGGATGAGAATTGCCGGTTGTTGTTGTTGTTGCTGGTCCTGGGAGTTGTCGGCGTTGATCCAAGGCTTTTGGGTGAGGTAGACGGAGCCGCGGGCTTTTTGGGAGGTGGTCGTTAGGAGGGTGGTTAGGGAGGTGAAGAACTATTTTTGGGTTAATTTAGATGCATAGAATGTAAAGGGGTTTGGGGGGGTGGAGGGAGGGGGGTCAAAGTGTCTGAAAGGGACAGATTGGGGGATTTGGGGTTCGGGCTGGACAGACCTCCTCATGGTTGAGGTGTGCGGGCATTTTGAATGGATGCGTGCTCAGTATTGGGGATTGTTGATGGTGTAAGTTGAGTGGTTGGTTTAGTGGAGATGGTGGTCTTGAACCCCCTAACCTGGATACAGTATGTTGAAAGGTAGAGGATGAGGAGAAAGAAGCAGCAGTCCAATGCACCTGTGAAGCTATGCTCTAATCAATGAACCCAATGGCCAGACGATCTCGACTCAGCGAGTTGAGTGGGGAGGGGAGAGGAGAGGAGCTCCGCATCTTCATCTCACCGCCCTTCCTGGTTTCCGCCTCCGCGGACTTTTTTGAAACGGCATTATTTTCGCAATAGACCAAAAAAAAAAAGTTCACTGCATCAAGATTCTCACCAAGACATAAAAGATGCCACGTCCTAGGCATAATACAACCTCGCTACCTCGGAATCTCCGGGAGGAGCTGGGGATCCGCGATACCTACGGTGAGCGGAAGCGCAACGGCCCTGGCGCGAGGAAAGATCGTCGGAAAGAGGAACGACAGTCGAAGAAACAGCGGGGAGGGCAGAAGAGGGGTCCTCAGCCGTCTTACGGGGGCTATGATGACGATGACGACGACGATGAGGATGGATTTGGTGGATTTGATGACGACGCCGATGCGGGAGATTCGGACGACAACGACGATGTTGCGGCGACCATGGCCAAGTTGAAGCAGAAGGAGGCTGCTAAGGCTGCTGCGCCCGAGAAGCCGAAGAAAAAATTGCAGACGACCGACAACGATGCTGAGGCGGTGGCTGCCTCGCGTCCGATCTCGAAGACAGTCAAAGCGAAATTGGACGAGGATGATGCGGAAATTGCTGCGTTGGAGAAGAAGTTGGGTCTCAAGAAGGGCAAGAAGCTTCCCAAGGCTTTTGAGGAAGATGGCTTGGGTGATCTCCTCGGCGATCTGGATGAGGGCTCCGATGATGAGAATCGCAAGCGCAAGCGAGAGGCTGACGACTGGTTGCGCAACAAGCGGAGAAAGGCCCAGGGTTTGCCGGTCGAGGACGACGTTGAGTCGGACGACGATGACAGCGAGATGGGTAGTGAGGATGGGTTGGATGCATTGGAGGGTTTTGACGAAGACGACGACTCTCTTGGAGACTTTGATGAGGATGAGGACTTGGAGGAGGATGAGGATGACGAAGATGAGGATATGGATGGCATGGATCTCGACGAGGATGAAGAGGAAGAGGAACCCGTTCCTAAGAAGAAGGAAAACCCATACGTTGCACCGGTTCAAGAGCCCAGTGGGAATCAACCACAAAAGTACATTCCTCCCTCGCTTCGCGCTAAGGCTTCCTCGGAGTCCGAGAGTCTTGTACGTCTTCGGAGACAAGCGCAAGGACACCTGAACAAGCTGTCCGAAGCCAACATGATGTCAATCCTGGCGGAGTTCGAGAAGCTATACCGTGATTATCCCCGTGGAGAAGTCACCTCGACCCTCATCACACTCTTGTTCGGACTGATTTGCGAACGATCCGCTCTGTCGGATACCTTCATCATCCTGCATGCGGGCTTCATTGCTGCCGTCTACAAGGTGATGGGTATGGACTTTGGCGCGGAGATTGTGCAAAAGATTGTCGAAACCTTCGATGCTCGTGGAGACGAAAGAGAGTCGTTCTCAGGGAAGGAGACAATCAACCTGATCTCCCTTCTTTCCCAGCTGTACAATTTCCACGTTATCTCAAGCACGTTGATGTTTGACTACATCCGGATCTTCCTCCAGGACATTACAGAGGAAAACACCGAGCTTCTCCTCAAGATCATCCGAAGTACGTATCTAACCGCCTGCAAGCTCACTCACATACCATACATAGTACTAACGACGAACCACAGACTCTGGTCCTCAGCTCCGCCAAGACGACCCCTCCTCCCTCAAGGATATCGTGCTCCTCATTCAACCCGCCGTAGCCAAAGCCGGCGAGGCGTCCCTCTCCGTCCGCACCAAATTCATGATCGACACGATCACCGACCTGAAGAACAACCGCCTGAAAGCCGGCGCCGGCTCGACCATCTCGTCCGAACACCTCACGAAGATGCGCAAGATCCTCGGCGCGCTCAACAACACGCGGGTCATCCGCGCCTCGGAACCCATCAGCATCTCGCGGGAGGACATCCACAACTCGGCCAAGAAGGGGAAATGGTGGCTCGTGGGCGCCAGCTGGCGCGAGGACCCGCTTGAGTCCGCGCGCCAGGAACTCTCGAGCCTGCCCGCCGGCACGGACCAGCAGCACGCCCTACCCGACGACGACGACGACGACAGCGACAAAGAACCCGACTGGGTCAACATCGCCAAAGCCCACCGGATGAACACGGACGTGCGCCGCTCGATCTTCGTGGCCATCATGTCCGCCACGGACTACCAGGACGCCCACGTGCGCTTGCTCAAACTCCGGCTCAAGCGCGCCCAGGAGTTCGAGATCCCCCGCGTGCTGACCCACTGCGCCATGGAGGAGGCCGCGCACAACCCCTACTACACGCTGATCGCCCGCCGGCTGTGCGGCGAGATGGGCCGCCGCATCAAGGTCTCCTTCATGTACACCCTGTGGAACATCTTCAAGCGCATGGGCGAGAACGGCGACCTGCACGACGACTCCGACTCCGACGGCGGCTTCGGCGACGACGAGGACGAGAACAACAAGCTCGGGATGAAGTCCATCGTCAACCTGGCCAAGATGTACGCCTCCCTGGTGGTGGACGGGACCTTGAACCTGGGGATCTTGAAGATCCTGAACTTCGCCTACCTGCAGCCCAAGAGCAAGATGTTTGTGGAGCTGCTGCTCATCAGCGTGATGCAGCAGTCGCAGCAACAGAACAGGAAGAAGAAGCGCGGGAGCAAGAAGAGCAAGAAAGGCGAGGAGGACGGCGATGAGGAGCGCGATGAAAAGGCCCTCATGGAGATCTTCTTGCGTGTCAAGGAGACGCCGCAGATCGCCAAGGGGCTGATCTTCTTCCTGCGCAAGGTCGTCGCGAAGACGGACATTGTGCCCTCGGGCAAGGATTTGAAGTTGGTGAAGTGGGGGTGCACCGTTGCGGTCGATGCGCTCAAAATTGTGGTGAAAGATACCGGTGCCGATTAAGTCAATGGCTATGGTTGAGTTCTTAACTGATTTTTGGTGCATCCGGCGTTGCAAGGTGTGGCGTTTTTTTGGGATAGGGCCAAAAGCAAGTGTATATAGACATGTTATTTCAGACATCATCGTTGCGATGAGGTGGTTGTTATTATCTCATTCATACATGTAGGGTATCTAATTTATGCACTATCTTGACCGTCTACATCGGAGACCAGCTCCCATTCCAGCACCACGGTCCACTTGCCTGATGCTTGCAAAGCAGTATTTCCAGAGAAGTTATCTCCGATTTCCTCTCCTATGTCACTCCCCCCCAGATCGATATCCCAGGTCAGCCCTCGAGAAATCCCGATGGCACTTCCTGGGCGAAGTTCAGGCACTGTTGAGGCAACACGCCGCCTGGGCTGTATCACCGTCTCGGACTGAGTCCGTGGCGCCCCAATGAGAAGCAGTTTCCTGAGCCGCGGGTCTCTTTCTGTCCCTGCCTCATCACCAAGAGCATCGGTCTCATGCCCGCACACAAACGCAAGAGGACCGCAGCTCGGAAGAGCAGACTGATGCACACTCTCGATCCGAACCACGGTCGAACTGGACCGCGGATCATTCCAGGGGGTATCCGCTCCCGTGCGCCGGGCCACACCCGTCTGTCGCTGCTGGTCGTGTCGTGTGCCCGTTTCCAGAACCCAGCTGCGCACTTCAGCAGCCATCCCATCAGGGAGATAAGCGTGGGCGGGACCGCGAGCACGTCCGCGTCGACGCAGCGCACGCGAAGATGGCGAGAACGGGGTCGGGAGGGCAGCGAGCTCGTCGTCCATGTGCGATGGGGACGGTGAGCGAGGTAGCACGAACGCTGGTGGCTTACGTCGTTGAGACGATGGTAGTGGCTCTTGCGTCGATGCAAAGACCCATGGCTTGCTACTTGATTGGGGTTGGGTGCTTGGAGGGAGGTGAGATGTTGGAAAGAGGAAACGTCGGGGATTGGTTGTGGATGGAGGGTTGATGCTTGCCGGCGCTGTGGGTCGAGGTGTAGCTGTGGCTGCCGGGGTACGATGTGAGGGAGCTGGAGTGGCTTGCGTCTGCATCGAAGACTGTTTGGGGGCAACTGGAGTTGGGGACTGGGATCGAGACGTTGGGGACGCGGGATGATCTTGTGACGATGACACGATCTGATCTGTGTCTGATCGTGTCGCTACTGGTTGGGATGAGGGAGCATCGTCGTTCACTGAGATTCGACGCCGCTTTTTCCGCTCTTGGATGGTTGCGAAGAGATCTTCAAATTCGGAATCTTCATCTACTGGTGGCACAGGGGAGCTGCTCTGCGTTTGCCCGTCATCGAAGATGATTTCTCCCGAGCGTATGTGTGGCGTATCATCTTGCTGGTGGTCTTCCGCATCGTCTGAATCTTCGATGATTTCTTTCTGGCAAGGCGTCGAAATCGCACCCCTATCGCGCCTCAAAAAGCGGGCAGTTGGGACTGGAGTGCTCTGGGGTCCGTCGTCTTCGGTGGAGAATGCATCCTGAGTTGCCTGCTGCGATGCGGGGGTTCTCTGTGAGACGAAGAATCGAGGGGTCGAGGCGAACTGCGGCCCTCCACTCGATCGCGAGGATGCGCGAAAGGGTGTCTAGTGGTACGTCAGCTGCTGAAAAGGCTGCTAGAGTTCGACGGAAGCAGTACATACAGCTACAGGACGCATTGAAGCAGGCGAAAGTGAAAACACAGCATCGTAATTGATGAGGAGAACGCGTAGGAGAAGGCAATTGGAGATCGACCGCGTCGAATCAATATATCCAGATTGAGCAGGCGGTCAGGGCTACTAGCTAGGTGCGGGGTGGTTTCCCCAGCTATAGTTACATCAGTCCTTCTCATACTCGTCGATGCCTGCATTCAGTCTACCTTCTTTATCCATCAATTTCACCTACACTCATCTTTGTCACTCATCAAGCCTATCACTCTTGGTACTAATCCGAGTCAGCAAGAGACTGCTTTATCGCTTCTTTCGCAACAAGCGTATGAGGCATTTCTGACAGCCAAACATTCACGCAAAGAAACCCCGCATATGATCCGTACTCCTACCTACCGTCGAGAGCCATTGCAGTCAGTATGTGATAAATCATGGCTAGCAGAGGCCAACTCCAGCCACATGCACGCCGCACAATGCTCTCTTGAACTATTCGAGACATTCCTTATGACCTGGTCTTCATAGTTACGAAGTTCAGCTTCCGCTCATCTTCAGCCCGCCAAAGATGGATATAGAGTTCAGCAAATTGCATTAGCTGGTTTAGCCGCTCTTGCACAGCATAGCATTTTTGCTTTTGGTGGCAAGATGTTCAGCTGCAGTCTCATCCAGCCTTTGCAGTTCTGACTTCATAGTACAATCATCGTCTTTTTTTAGGGTGCATATATAGTGCCCCCCGGACCACAATTCTTGCTTTTAGCCTCTCATCGTCCATCTTCTGCTTAGGATTCTGACAGTTTAAACAACGCTCAACCACTTATTACAATGTCGGGCCCACCAGAAGGAGTGGTCTGGTTTCCCAAAAAGCTTTTCTCTGTTTGGTGGGACTCAAAGCTACATATTAGCGATGAGGATCGTATGAAAGAGCTCAAGCGAGAAGGGGAGGACTTTTATAAGTTTCTTTGGGTTGATATCACGGTCAACGCGAAAGTCGAAGACAAAGACAAGCCAAAGAAGAAGCATCCGCGCACTGAATTTGCTGTCGGCGGGGCGACGGCAAGCTACGACAAAATCTCCGCTCTGTATGGCAGGGATGCTAGCAACCCAACTCGGATCGTGACCTTGCATCAAGATGGGAATCTGTTCGCGCAGCCGGAACAGGCATATTTGGTACACTTCCCCATGCCGACTCCCGAGGAGCGATTCCTGTGGCTGGACCTCACCTATGCAATTCGTGGGGTATACCTCCCACAGTGTTGGAACTGCCCGTGGCCGTACGAAGATTTGGTCCAGCTGATCCGACTGGATTTCAAACATCGATCTGTTCAGATTCCGTTCGCCATCCCGTACAGCTCAAAGCTTTATCCCCAGCCGGAAAGAGATCTTTTGCCGGAGCAAATTGACAGAGCTGGGCTCGAGATCATGCCGGAAAAGACCATCGTGGACAACGTACTGCATCCGATCTTACAAACTACGACCCGGTTCACGAAGAAGATACTTGGTGAGAAGGCAACTAATTCGGATGGGGAGCCTTCTCACGAGGCTCTTTTCCAAGGTTCAGACGCAGAAACAAAACGAGCCAAGGAAGATCTCCGCAAATGGCTAGATAGCTGCAAAGGCAAGGGCCCACAAGATCAATTGGCCAAGGCCAGAGACCTCGATGCATTAGCCAAGAAGTACAATGTTGATCGCAATCCCAAATACTATCGTGCGGAGGTCGACCAAGAAGATCTCAGCAAAAGCCCCAGCGGCAAATTCCAGGAATCCCTGAAAAAATGGATGTTGGATTTCTGGGCTGAAAATCGGCCACATCTCTTTGGAAATCAGAAACATGCAGCCTCCGCCGCGCTAGTCGCAGAGAAATGGTCGCAGGAGATAGCTGAAAAGCCTGAGTTCAAGAATCTTACTGTTCAAAGTCTTTTGGCACAAAGAGACACCGGAGAACGTGAGAGATTAGTCAAGGCGCTCTCCGACGCGGTCAATGCCGGGCCCACGGGATGGAAGGTCATCCCCAAGCCCAAACTCGGTCCTGTGGATTCTTTCGGTGCTGCCATCACGGAGATGGGGGCTTTCTTGAAACTTGACTTTGGGGACGTCTTCGAATTCAACCTGGGAAAATGGGTGCTGAAAATGGCAGACTGGAATCAGTTTGGTAAATGGATATACCCAGACTGCCCGGTGTAGCCCAAAGACGACGAGTTATTTGGCCTGCCAAAGTACACCCCATGGCCTTGGTATCAGCGACGGGCATTGCTCTCCTCTCCCGGCGGTCAGCCTGATAGTATTGTGACCGGCCACATTGACTTCACCACGAACCCTACCTTTGGCCTGGGTCTTGGCCATGCGGACGTGACGCTCCGACTGGACGTTACTGAATTGATGTGCATTCTGCCTATGCCAGGGGAGGTATACACCCGTCAAGGGGAAGAAGAAGTTGGGTACCAGAATGTCTCTGCAAAAGGCGAGAAAGGACGACCAATTGACTTTTACAGTCGTGACCTTGTTCTCGCCTTTCCCGCTAGGGAGGTGAAGACCAGCTCTGCGACAAAGGACATGACACCAGATCATGGAGTTATCACTTACAATGGCAAGACTTTCCCTGATATCATCAAGCGCGAGTACGGCTTGGTCATGAACTACAATATCACCGAGTCGACCCCTTGGGAGAAACAACTTGCGCTTTTCATGGTTCAGATCCTGGCCGTCGCAGCGGACGCTATCCCCGTCGTGGGACCTCTCGTTTCATTTACCATCTACATGGGAGGTAATTCGATCATCGATGCTGCATGGATCTCGCAGTACGAGAACTCGAGCCCGCCAGTTTTTGCGTTGCTGTATTCTCAGAGAAGTAATGTGGCGAAGTACAAGACGAAGGTAGCGCCGAAGTTCAATTTCAAATTGACCCTCTGAGCGCGGCTACAGGCACAAATTGAAATATCATTGTGGCCGGATATAGCTGCACTTGGCCACTGACTATCTACTCATGGTTGGGGAAAATTATATGCGTGTATGTATGAAGCGCAAATCAGCGCGCAGAGTTCAACTGGTTTAGGGTTGTGGAGCTCCACCCAGCTATGTAGCCTCCAACCACCTCAAGCTTACAAGGGGAATTACATATGACTGGGCTCGGAAAATACAACGTTTGCAGAAGGTGATTGCAATTTAAAGGTAGACTTGATCGAGATTCTAAAGAAACTGCAGCGCGGCATGGTCCCCTCGTTCGCAGTGAGCAGATAGAGTCTAATGCTCTATATGAACTATACTAAAGAAGCGCATGGCGATGTGACCGCCAAATTGACCCAAGTCTCTGAGAGAAAAAGAGAAAGAAATGGTTTCCCTGCTTCTCGATGCATATATGCGGACATGCGTTCTTCCACTTTTCACCACGCCAAACGGTACTACCTTACATTCTCGAACGCACATGAGTTATTGGATAGCATCAGGGGTTGGAGCTTACCGTAGCTATGTTTGAAGGCCACAGTTCATGGGGAATTGGTCGGAAGAAGAGCTACGGGTGGAAAGAGAGTCGATTCCATTCAAAAGGTAACTTGCTGCTTTTCATTCTGACACACGAGAAATCATTCGCAAGGAAAGCCACTCCATCTCCAACGGGAAGCCCCGATAGGAATATTCATCCCCCAGAAACCGAATATCCTTGGCCCCCGATTTACTCAGAATATCTTCCCACAGCTCCTCCCACCGCATGAAGTAGGCTGTGTCCTCATGCGCATTGCCCTCGAAACACATTCCAACCACATACCCGTGCCGGTCGAACACCATCGATCCTGAGTCCCCCCAAAGCATCACACCGTTATACGAGCTGTACGAGTTGTACATAGAGTGTACATAATAAACCAATGGTTCTCCTCTTTCTTTTGGGTGGCGGGCAGTAGTATGGGTGATCCACGCTGTGCGCAGTCCGTTGTATCTCCCTTTCGTTTTGGCCGTGGAATGCCCTATCTTCCATAGAGATTGCCCGGGTCGGAGCCGCTCCTCCAAATACCAAACTCCCACAACTTCGGATACTGGGTCCAGAAAGTCCTCCGAGGGACATGGAGACTGCAAAAGGAGGCGAAAATGCTTAGCAAAGATGCGATTACCAGGGGCTAGGATAGGATGGTAGTTTACCTTGTTCTCACCCAGCCGTCGGTCTGCGCGCATGCGGACAAGGGCCCAGTCCAGGAAGACCGACGGTGAACTGACTTCTGAGGAGTAGGGTTCCTGTTGTCGTGCTTCCAGGCCGGACGTGGCGACCACAGTGCCGAACTCGTAGTTCTGGTTATCTTGATACTTCTGGATTTGGGCGCGTTCTGCTCTAATCTTAGTAAGGGTGTTGTTTAGATATGTCCAGAATTTTAGATCCCCGGGGGCGGACACAGGCTCGTTCTGCGCTTGCGCGGCTTGAAAACGTTCGCAGCGCATTTCATCCTCATAATCTCGTGCGAGATCATCGAGGTTGTTCATGTTCAATGTGATTTCATACAAGCCTGGGCTATCAACCAGGAGAAGTCTAGCCGCTGTGGTGTCTCGGAACGGTACGCCATATGTCTTCCACTCGTCAAAAGCCGGGGTGTTCTCTCCCTTCTGAGCACAGGACTCAACATGTGCATCGCTAGGCAGGACACAGCGCGCGGACGTCAGCGCGTACGGCATCCACTCATCTGTGTCCGGATCCTGGAGCTCCACCCAGCAGCCCAGGGTCCCCTGCGCTTCGGGTGAGTGGCCTGAGGCTAGACTATCCCCCATCTCACAGGGTCTATCCTCTTTGAAGCCGTGTGTAAGGGAGTCAGGAAGGCCATGCAGGTCCAGAGGTGGTCGGCTTGCCGAGTCCTGGCGGATAAGCACCCCAACTGAATCAAGACCAAATGATTCCAGAACGGTAACAATCTGTTCCCGAACCGCTTTCCAATCCACGGATGCCGTCGGATCCACCCCCAGCAAGACAGTGGGTGCAGAGACCGAAATCGAGGACGTCGCCCCAGCGCGACAGCAGCTAATATAAAGGACTCCCGTCAGAAGGATCGTCCGGAGAATTGCTTCTAACACAGCCTCCCACTGCGGAAAGATGGCGTCCTCTACGGTGCACGACTGCATCCGGAGGCGGTTCTTTGCGCAGAACAAGATATCACAGATCTCGACCGCGACGTTAAACTCATTGGTGGCGGATCCTTTTAATTCTGGGAGGTAGTGGTACACTGCCCAGGCCGCCCGCGTCGCTCGTGCAGCCCAGCCGGGGTCGTTGGGCTTCCTTTTCACTGTGATCTTCACGGTCGGTACGCTCGGCTTGCCTTGTTCGAATAGACCGCGCTGCTTCCAAAAGAGTACATTGTCGATCATCCCCAGGTCATTTTCTTTGCAGATTTCCAAAGCCTTTAGTGCCAAGTCGAGGTTCCTTCTATTGAGAGGATGGTCTGGGCTGATCGAATTGTGGTAATAGTCTGGTTCAGATGACGATGGGACGCCCACGCGGAGATCTTCTTCGATACGGTGGTTGTCTGAGGTCGTGTTGGGGCTCTCATCTCTGGATGACCGGTTGTTTCGTCTGACCCGGATGCGCTGGCCAGACGAGGACAGGAAGAGACCTGACGCGTAACTGAGTTCGTGTGCGGTGACTGGCACTACCTGAGGTCCACCTGCCAATGATATGGCTAGTAAAGTGTTAGCAGATGCGACTTCTCTAGATCGAGAGATCAAGAGAGTGAAAAGGAGGAGGCAAGATACGCATACCTCTCCTGTCTTCTTCCTCTGCAGAATCCACTCCTCGCAACATACTGGTAGAACTCTGTAGGTGTGCAATAATTGAGGTTATTTGTTGGTTAGGGAAGCTCTGGGAAGAATGAGCAGGGTTGGATTATATTGTGTGCATTTCTTTCTTCATTCCGGTACCTCATCCAGTGAGTCATGGATGTCATCATATTGACTGTATCCTTCTGGCACTGCGCCATGCGAATCGGTGAAGTAATTCCAGCATAATAGAACAAGCTCATTATGATCGAAGGATTGGCGCTGCAAACGGTTTTGAGTGGTTGTGATGAATTATTCTTTCTCTTTGGCTGAAATACGAAGGCTAGTGGAGTTGACTCTTGGTAGAATCCAAAGTCTTTCCTATTGAAGGAATAGAGGCCGGTGCTCAATCCCAATGTAAATATTATGCTACACATGAAGTTGGAAAATGCACATATCTCATTACGAGTTAGCTTGTCATACTATCTCCCTACCTACATAAGTATGACGGTAGATGAAGACGCAGGTTGCACTTCGATTTCCCTATAGCCGGCTTTTCTCGCTAATCTTGGTCCAGGCACTCTCCTTGACCTTCTGGAAGTCCATGATTGCATCCGGGCCACCAAAACGATTCTGGGTCGCTTTCCAGTCCCGGTCAACGGCCGTCTCTGGTCTCCAGCGGACAACATCTTTCACTTCCTTCTGGAGATGACCTTCCAGTGCGTCCGCGATAAATCCTCCAATTGAAGGCATCTGCATCGCGCCGTTACCGGATGCTCCTACAGCAACGACCAACGAAGGATGCTTGGGATGCCGATCAATCAAGAAGGCACGATCTGGCGTATCAGCATCCCAGCAGATACGAGCAAAGGAAAGCGGTCGGTCTGCAAGCTGCGGCATTGTGTCCCGGAGAAAGTCCCTAGCACGAGCCTCGGCTTCTAGCGGAATCTGGTGTGCTGGAAATGGGATACTCCTGATGTCACCATTCCGCTTAGGATCAGGAACAAAGTTGCAGTAGCCGGGATGCTCATCGCAAATCTTCAACTCATGCTTATCCTCATCGGGCTCCATGAAGAAGCCCTTAGCAATGTTGAACAGCACGGGTAGATTCTTGTAACGTTTGGCCTCTTCGGGAGTCATCTTGATATGGCACAAAGTCCAGGCTGTAGGACGCAGCTGCTTCTCAAAGTCCAGAAGCCGGTCACTGCCCGCACCAGCCGACAAAATGGTGCGGTCCGCGCGATGAACCACGCCATCAGATGTTCTTGCTCCCACAACATCGCCATTCTCAAAGACTAGAGCCACAACATTTCCTTGCGGGGACCCGGTAAGAAACTTAACTCCCAAGCGCTTGGCTTCCGTGTAGGCGGATACCATGGCTTTTTGGGCGTGGATCCATCCCGCGTTGGATTTGTTGAGCCAGCCCTGCCAGCCGGGGAACTTGCCAGTCAAGACTCCTGCCGGCATTGTCTTGCGAAAGTCCTCTGCCGTTTCCAGCTTCACAAAGTCGCCCATCGAAGGTTCAATTTCTGTCTCGCGAATGTGTTCGATCAACGCAGGGGTGTGACCCGATACAACCACGCCGGTTTCATGGAAATATGGCTTGAAAACGGGATCTGTTTTCCAGCCTTTCAAGGCAGCACGGGTGCAGGTAGCAAAAGCAATGCTGCGGGGATCCGTATCAGATTCTAGTCACTTATCAGTCGGTTCCTCTTTGGTTCGTCGAGTCTCAAGGATACTTACCCTTCGGCTCTCGATGTTCCATGATTTTGTTGATATCATTCCCAGCTGCAATCGCAGAGGGAACGGTATAGGGATCTAGCACCGTGACATTCTTGTAGCCACGACGGACCAAGTGCAAAGCCGTTGAGCATCCCCAGACACCTGCACCAACAATGAGGATGGTGGAATCATGACTTAAATCCGAGGGTGCCATGATGCTGAGAGTTGTGTACTGGATGTTGCGGGCAAGTGGAGAAGGACTTGCTCTGGTACGGAAAGGAACAGATCAAGAGAGCATCGGCCAAGACGAGAGTATTTGAAGGGAAGGCTTCATCATGCCATGTCCATCTGTTCATCGCGGAATTGAACCGAAGGGGATGAAGTATGAGGCCAAGTGGAAGAAGCATGGCAGGGAATCAGCCATCGAGCAGCCAAAAGGCGGGGTTCCCAATGCAGTTTAGCCCACCGGTTGGACCTTCCTCGCTTTTGAGCATATCGACGACTCCTTCTACTCAGTATACTCAGAATACTGAGTATTCACCTTACACTCCCTAACCGTCCTCTTCTCCACACATCCACTCCAGTGATAAGGTTGTCTCGTGGCGGATGTTATCAGTCGCGTGCAGTGTCCAGACCTGCTTTAGTCGGTGGATCTGACGGCTTCTCCGCATCTTCCTCTCCTTGCCCTTCTTGGCAGATGCCATCAGTCTCAACCCCGTTGCGATAACACCCCTCGTTTGGAGCTTCCTCGACAAGTATACTTATCTTTGTTCCATTTACTCTGCCTCAATGGCTCGAGGGAAAGGGTCTCACTCCACCTCTCTTATCACGAGGCACTGCGTTCACGATGTCGCTAGAGTTTGGCCATCGTTGGCTTCATGATTGCAGTGGCGGACAAACCAAGGCCAAAGATCGTCTTGCCTTGCCTTATCGTTCATCACCTATCGTCATCTACCATGGCATTATGCTCGGTTATTCTCATCCAATCGGATGAACAAATGGACCTTGATAGAGCGGAACATTGACGCCTCCCCGGGCCTGAGGATGCTCTTGGGTTCAAGTCGAACCGCGCTGGTGCTGTAGAGATGCATTTAAAAGAGCGGCGACTTCCCCTCCCGGTCTCCTGTCTTTGTCCTGTCTGCTATACATCAAGACATCATGACTAGCTCTGAGGATATACAAACCGACGTACCGGGAACGGTTTACCTCGTCGACGCAGGGGGAAACCTGAGCGACGCTGCCCATGCTGGCAGTCAGGATATCATACTGATTCCCCAGCCGACTTCATCAGTTGCCGATCCTTTGGTATGTGGGGAAAGTAGATTAGCTGGCCTCTATTCTCAAGACTGACCGTTCTCTGTTAGAACTGGCCCAGGTACAAGAAATACTGGACGCTCTTTCTGATTTCTGCCTACGCATGCTTGAACTCCTTTGGCGAGAACAATTGGGGAGCAGCATGGACAACAATCTCGGAGGATACCGGCGTGAGCTTGAGTAATATGAACGGTGGCTCTGCTCTCAACTATCTCATGCTCGGCTTTTTCAACATAATTTGGATCCCCACAGCCATGAAATTTGGACGAAAGATTGTTTACATCCTCAGCTTGGTCTTCGTTCTCGCTAGTGGAATCTGGGGCGGTGTTTTCAGTGGTGTTGCACAGTACTACATCATGATGACTGTCAATGGTATTGGTACCGCAGCCTACCAAGCCCTAATTCAGCTAACGGTACGTCACCTCATCGACCCTCTCTGTGGGTACTAATGGTTCATAGATCTTTGATGTCTTCTTCTCCCATCAACGTGGCCGTATGCTCGCTATCTATATTTTCTTCCAGCAGCTTGGTTCCATCATTGGCTTGATTTGTGGTGGTTATATCTCCGATGGCATCGGCTGGAGATGGAGCCAGCCCATCGTGGCAGGAGCATGCGTAAGTTCTTGTGCTCATCAACACAGAGCATGGCCGAAGCTAAACGGGTTTTAAGGCTTGCTTGATTCTTCTCTTCATCTTCACTTTTGATGACACCATGTTCCCGAGATACCGGTTCTCAGGCGATACATCGTCTGAGGACTCGAAGGTCGACCCCACCACTACACTGCCCACGGACGACAAGGACCAGAAGCTGGAGGCCCCTATATCTGTCGTAGCCAGCCATGGTGCAGGGCAGATCTCAATGCCTCCACGGACCTACCGCCAAAAAATTGCTTTAGTGCACTATTTCAAAGACGACCATACAACCTGGTTCCAGTACTTCCGCCGTCCATTCTTCCTCTTCGCCTTTCCCAACATCCTCTTGGCAGGGATTCAATTTGCCCTAGGCTGCACCGCCGGGATTGTCTCCTTCAACACCATCTCCGAGATCATGACCGAGCCGCCATACAACTGGAGCGCTGGTCCCGCCGGGCTGATCTTCCTAGCTGCCCTCGTCGGCAACTTTATTGGGTACGGTGCCTCATCTAGTGTAATCCAACATTCAAGCTAACCATAAACTTCAGAATGGGCATCGGTTCGCTGTCTGACTGGCTTGTCATCTTTCTCGCCCGCCGCAACAAGGGGTACAAGGAACCCGAAATGCGTCTCTGGGCCTACGGACTCCCCATCATCCTCGCCGCCGTCGGCTACTTTCTCTATGGCTGGGGCGCCACCGAGGGTGCCCACTGGATGACCATTGCCGTCGGCCTCTGCTGCATGATCGCACAGCAGGTCTCTGCCACGAGTATCGCGACTGCGTACGCAATGGAATGCTTCGATCAGGTTAGTTGCATGTCCCCTGGCTATACTGAACCCCCTGCACCCCTTCCTTCTCTTGCCGATGCTCTTCTTCCGCTTTCCCTTCCCCTTGTATCGTAGGTCGGACTATCTAACCCTACAAACCATATACTAGATATCTGGAGAACTGGTCATCATTCTAGCCTGCTGCTCCTCCATCATCAACTTCGTCATTTCCTTCACGGTACAGGACTTCATTGACGGGACAAACTACGGCTGGACCTTCACCTTCTACGGCATCTTGGTCGTGCTGTCCATGCTGATGGGCGTGCCGATGCTGATCTGGGGCAAGAGTTGGCGCCGCAAGTGCAAGCCACGATATGAGCAGTTCCTCGCCGAAAAGGATCTTCATTGAGCTGTCAGCCCGGGCGACTCCGGACGACGAGCAAGCTTGCTACGTGCTCGTACATCCTCTTCTTATGATTCATGATTGCTATACCTGTTTCCTCGTCTACTTCCTTGCTCCGTCGCTATGGTTTTTGGTCCATTGGGCACAAACGAATTACTGGCCTTCAATGCAAGACAAACATGCAATGCACAAATGATCTATTCTGCCTGAAAATACCAGTATCCTCATTCTCTCCTACACTATCAGGATATGTCTAGTTGGAAGATAGAACTCTCTGCGGGATGGGGAAGCAAGAGCTGCTGAATACCCATGCTGCTCCGTAGGCAAATATAGAAGCATCAACGGGGCTTATGCGTGACAGCCACGAGCTACTGACTTCGCGAGGTCGACATTGAGGAGGAATGTGTTTGCACACACGCGGCGATTGCGAGATTTGGGGGTGGGGACGGAACCATTAGACTAAGTGGGTGAGATGGGAAGGTAGATTGCGTCACTTTTTCTGGAAGTGCAAGTAGCAGAAGTAATGCTAAATCATGAATTCATGAATCATGACGGACGGGCACGTCTCGTCTCTCACGAGAAGAATTTCTGAGCGGCAGCGCGCTCCTTAGCCACGCGATCCTTAAGAGCCTTCTTTACCTTGGCAATTTCGTTGGTAATACCAGCGTCACCGGGGGCCAGACGATCGGCCTCTTGGAGGTCCTTCAGGGCCTCGTCCTCCTCCTTCAGGCCGCTCAGGGCGACGGCACGGCGGTAATACGCCTTGGCCTTATCGGCATCTTTGGCCTCGGCGGCAGCAGCCACATCGAGGGCGTAAGTAGCCCAAGTCTGAGCGTTCTTGAATTGGCCGAGCTTGTTCGCCAGGAGGGAAGAGTTGGAGTGGAGGGTGAAGCGGAGAGCCTTCATCTGGGGGCCAAGCTCCTTAGGGTCCTGCTCGTCGGGCTCTGGGAACTCGTTGAGGTAGCGCAAACCCTTCTGGTACTTTTCGAGACCAAGGGCGATGTTGCCGCTCTTGAAGGCGGCGTTTCCGAAGTTCTTCAACTCAGCGGCGATCTTGTAGCACACCGGAGCACTCAGCTGCTCGCCCTGGTGGTCATCGGGGAAATCCTCGTAGGGGTCGCCAGTTGCGTCAGGGGTCTGCTTGTCGGCATCCTCGTAGTCTTGGCCGGTGAGCTCGCCGCAGTCGACAATGGTGACGTCCGTGGTGGGCTTGTCTGCCTGGGTAGACATGTTCTCGATCTTGCGAACAACGCTCTTTCCGTTGATTACCTCGCCGAAGACGACGTGCTTGCCGTCAAGGTGAGGAGTGGGGACAGTAGTGATGAAGAACTGACTGCCGTTGGTGCCGGGGCCGGAGTTGGCCATGGAGAGGAGGAAAGGCCGGTCATGCTTGAGGTCGAAGTTCTCGTCGGGGAACTTCTCGCCGTAGATGGATTCGCCGCCAGTGCCGTTGAATGCAGTGAAGTCACCACCCTGGATCATGAACTGCTTGATCACACGGTGGAAGATGGAACCTGGTCAAGTCATGGGTGGTTAGTTTTGGTTTGCGAGGACGAATGTCGGAGCGGACGGGAAGTGGGAAGGAGAGAAAAAAGTATGGGACCGGAAATGGTCAAAATCGTACCCTTGAAGCTCAATGGCTTGCCCTGCTTGCCCACGCCCTTTTCACCTGTGGAGAGTGCACGGAAGTTCTCTGCGGTCTTGGGAACAACTATTGTCTGGTCAGAGTGTGCCCGGAAAAAGGGTCGTGGAGCTTAGGTTGGTACTATACCATCGTTGAACTGCGCGGGCGGGGTAGGTTAGCAAGGCTCTCACTCCAAGATCGGCGGCCTCGGCATAGGAAAGGAAATGTCCGCTAATTAAACGAAAGAACTACTGACCAGCTCGAGAGCAATGCGACCGGCCTTCTGTTCACCGATCTGAATGTCAAAGAAGACACGGGGGCGGCCTGTAGGAGCGCAATGGGTCAGTTACCGGAGCTTCGAAGCTGGATCCCCGCGGCGGGGAAGAAGGGAAGTCGGAACACACGCTGAGACTCAGCCATGGTGCTGCTGGATGATGGCTATGTGTGGAGAGTGAATGGAGAAGATAGGTGGGAAAGCGGAAAAGGTGGCTGTGAATTGGCACAGGAGAGAGAAGAAGAAGAAGAAGGAGTAGAAGTAGAATGTATAAGGAGAAGAAGTCAGACAATGGGTAAGTGGATAAAATGACAGACAGACAGAGTACCAGTAAATGAGGAGAAAGGAAGGAAAGTCAAGAGGAGAAAGAAAGTCCAGGACTAAAGAGGTAAGAAGTGGGCTGGGCCGGGGCCCTCTGCTTGCGATGCTTCAAGAAGCTTCCATCGTTTCTCTTTGGCGCCTACTCCGTACCGGGAATCTCTGCCACTGGACGTACTGTACATACACTGCAGTAACTTGGTCTTTTCTTTTCTGTTCTTTTCCTTTGCTTCCCTCTTTCCCCTTCCCCCTCTTCCAATCCCGTTACATTCCGCCTCTCTCCGTCTTGATTGATGGATAGATGAGGGGAAAACGTACACTAGTTCGCGATCGATCGCGGTCTGATAGGAGTGGATCTACGCTCCTACTGCTGCTGTTCGTACCGAGTAAGGCAATCTGGGGAATTCTATGCTTCTGGAACCTAAACACCCTCCCTTCCCACCCACCCCATTTTCCCCTCACCCCCAAATCTATCTATGGGTATGTCTATAAGGAACTTTTTATATACACCTGAACCAACCTGAATCTCGAGGGATCATTCTTTTTCGTAAATTCATCGTGACGCCCTTCCATCAATCAATCCAATAACTCCGCGGGTATCTTGAACTCGAAAGTCTGAGGCCGCGGTTCTTGCGGCTCGGCCTCCTTCTCCTTCTTCTCCTTCTTGGGTAGTTGGGTGTTGATCTCGATCGTGACCTATATCAGCCGCAAAGAACCATAAGCGTCAGCCCAGAATCATCAGTGAAGGAAGCAGGAAGAGAAGCGAGAGCTTTACCACCGCATCTTCACTGCGGTAATCTACACCCACCGGCCCGTCGTTTTTGAGCTCGACCTCCATCATAGCCTGGAAGATGCCATTCTTCACCCGTTCAGGCTTGTAGCTGTTGCTCAGTTTTTGGTAAAAGTAGTCGTAGAGTTTGCGCGCAGTCTCCACATCGGCTGCGGCGTGGAAGTCCGGCTTGCTTCCCTTCTTCAACTCGCCATAGAGGGTAAATTGTGACACTGGATGGGCAAGGGCAGGGGTGTCAGCGAAGCGCATCCCAAAAGACGATCTGTGGAGGGATATGACTGTACCGCAAAGCACTTCTCCATCGATATCTTGGACGTTCTTCTTCCACTAGATTTGCAATGCGCCGCGTTAGATGTGTGCTGCAGGCAACCGAGAGATCGCGAGCCTCGTCTCACCTGTTTCTCATTCTCATCGGACCAGAGCTTGGCTTTCAATATTCGGCCAACCATCGTATCGGCATCTTTTTCCGTGTCCTCTTTGCCTACACCGGCAAGCACAAGCAGCCCCTGGCCGATCGACGACACAAGTTGCCCGTCGACGGTGACCGAGGCGGACTTGACTCGTTGAAGTACCGCTGTGCGAGGCATCAGTCAGGGCTATTTTATTTCGCAGGCATTTCTCATAGATTGCGCACCCTTCATATTGCAATGCGCCAAATAATAGTAATCAAGAATATGGTCGTGGCAGTTCAGCGGTGGGGAAGTCTGCGAGGGTTTATGGAACTGCTTGTCAATATCGGCCTTATTGCGGCAAGCGGGTAGCTGCAACCGGCGGCGCATACAACTACTCACTGTCACTGGACAACAACTGACTGCTAAGTAAAATGCTGGAAATTATGTCAGCGCACTCCTGTACAGTGGTCAATACTAAGGGAAATGGGCAGATTCAGCCTCCTACCTCAAATCTTGCCAACCTGAAGACAAAAAAAGTTGTTGTTGTAGATTTCACCAACGCACACCATGGATCATGTATGACGGAGGAGAAGATGATGAACAGTAAGGTTAAAGAGTTGCCCGCTCGCCGCCCCCGGGATCGGTAATGCCTATCCCCCCCGTGACCGCCTACTGCTTCGGGCATTATCCCAGCTTCGAAGAGACCAGGACCAAAGTATCAGGAGATTGACACTCCTTCACTGCGTCCCTAGAAACAATCACGCCCCCCGCGTTCTTTTGTCAACAAAGAGCTGCGCCGGCAGTAACTTGCCCCCACGCGCTAGACCATCCAAAATTCTCTTCAATCCGCCCTGCGCCCTTCCCTCCCGTTCATCCCATCCGTTCCTCGGCCCTTCCGAGTCTCACATCACCCACGTCAATTTTCGTCGAGTCCCTTCCCCTCTCTTGTTCATGTGGAAACGGCCGCCGCTATGACGTCCCGAAAAACGCAGCAGGAGATTGACAAGACCTTCAAGAAAGTCGCCGAAGGCATCGTCACATTCGAGGGCATCTACGAGAAGATCCGCTCGACGACGAATCACACCCAGCGGGATAAGCTCGAGGAAAACCTGAAGCGCGAGATCAAGAAGCTCCAACGGTATCGAGATCAGATCAAGTCGTGGGCGTCTGGAAATGAGGTGAAAGATAAGGGTCCGCTGCTCGAGCAGCGCAGAGCCATCGAGACCGTGCGCATCCCTCCGCCCTTCAATGCCTTGGCGAGGAGGGCAGCTTATTTTGCTGACTATAGGAGCTTCTAGTGTATGGAGCAGTTCAAGGCCGTCGAGAAGGAGATGAAGACGAAAGCATACTCCAAGGAGGGCTTGTCGGCAGCGTCGAGATTGGATCCCAAGGAGAAGGAGAAGGTGGAGACATGCGACTTCCTATCGAGCATGGTCGACGAGCTACAACAACGGATCGAGGCCATGGAGGCAGAAGAGGAGACGTTACATATGCAGATGAAGAAGGGGAAGAAGGACGTGGCCAAGACGAATCGGTTATCGGATATCTCGCGGATCACGGAGCGTCATAAGTGGCATGTCAACAAGTTGGAACTGCTGTTACGGTCGCTGCAGAACGGCAACGTCGAGACGCAACAAGTCCTGGATCTCAAGGAGAGTATCAAGTACTATGTGGAAGACGGGCACAACTTGGACTACTCGGGCGAGGACGAGACCCTATACGATGATCTGAACATGGACAACGAGGCGGAGATGCAGTTCGGCATCGCGGGCGACAACGACCGTGTATCATCGCAAGATACCCAGTCGGTGCAAGAAGAGGAACCGGAGGTTGTCAAGCCGAAAGCGAAGCCCGATACCTCGGGACCCCGACGACCTTCCGCGCAGATGAAGTCCCCTCTTCCCGTGCTGGCCACCCTCCATCCCGCAACCTCGACAAGTGCCACCTCGGGCATGAAACCCGCCCCGCCTCCAACGCGCCTGCCAGGAGAGACCCTCAAGTACGCCTCTGCGGCGGCTGCAGCTGCTGCCAGCGACAAGAACGGCGTGGGCATCGCGCCTCTGCCGCCACCGCCAGGAGCCAGCCCCGCTTTCCCCCACGCCGTACCTGCATCCAAACCCTCCACCTCCACAACCGCCTCCCCCAGCATCGCTCCCGCACAACCCGCGGTGAAGTCCTCGACAGGAGTCACGATAGCAGGCGAGGAGTCGAGTAGTGGCAGCCGATCCAAGACCCCTGCTGCGAGTCCGCACGTGGCCAGCGCAAGCACGTCGACGCGAGGCGTGCCGCAGACCCCCGCCATGGAGAAGGTTGAGGCCTCGGGTAGCGGCAGCAGCACTAGCAACAAATCCCGACCCACGACGACGGCGAACACCAACGGCGAGTCAAGCGGCAAGGAGGAATCGTCGCGCGAGAGCGAGGAATCCATCTATCACCTCCCGCCGGGCCTGCAGGATCTGATCCAGTCATTCGAAGTGACCAAGAGCCGTGCCGCGGCCAGTGCGACCAACCCGTCCCCATCGGTGCAGCGGTTGCTGGCGGCCTCCCTGGCCAATTGCCCCGAGCCGGCCGACGCGGAGAAACCCCGTCACTACAAGCCGCAGAACCCGTACAACACGCCCCTCTACTACCCCCAGGAACCTCTCCCGATCTTCGACGACCCGCGTCTGTACGAAACCGGTCGCATCGACACGGATACGCTGTTCTATCTGTTCTACTACCGCCAGGGCTCGTACCAGCAGTACCTGGCCGCCAAGGCGCTGAAAAACCAGAGCTGGCGGTTCCACAAGCAATACCAGACCTGGTTCCAGCGCCACGAAGAACCCAAAACCATCACCGAGGAGTTCGAACAGGGAACGTATCGTTTCTTCGACTACGAGAGCACCTGGTATGTTTCTTCCCCGCTTCTTCCCTTTTGCTCACTTTTCTTGGAAGTAAGCTGGTCCAACACGAGAGTAAACTAACTTCGGGACCACAGGATGAACCGTCGTAAAGCGGATTTCAAGTTCGTCTACAAGTACCTTGAGGACGAACTATAAACCACCCCTTCCTCCACAACCATCAGCACGCGAACCACAATAATTCGAGGGCAAACTTACGAGATGTTGTTTGTGTACATGTGTTGAATGTTCTATTTGCTCCCTCCATGGTTTCACCACTGTAGATGAAGAAACACAAAACAGAGAGAAATCATAAGGAACAAAAAACAAAGACTTTTAATTCCTTGCTCATTCTGACAGCCGCCCATCCGGTTGCAGGAGGTACTGTACTGTGCCTTGAAGTGATCAAATCTGTCTCTTGTTTCTGATCTTATCTGTGATCTGTGTGGGATTTTTTCTTTTCTTTCTGTTTTCTGCTGGGTCTGCTCTTGTTTTTCTTTCTCTCTTCGAAAGCATGCAAAGGGAACGAAGTCTTACGACATAAGGGGACACAAACTGGGAGTTTCTGTGCTGTTTTATTCCTTGAACATGAATGGGGCTGCCGGGCAAATAAAATCACTGCAAAGAAAGGAGAAGAAGAACCCTTGTCTTTTTTTGGTATGTTTGTTTGTTGAGATCCCTCTCTCGACCTTGGTGCATTAAAGGGTTACTGTTGTTGCTTTGGAAGATGATCTTGTCTTGATCTGAACTGAACACCATTTGGAATGGACACACATAAGCATCCCCCTCCCATCGAGGTTTTGTCTTCGTTTCTTCGGCCGGATAGTCTCGGTCATGAGTAGATGTGTAGGACCTTCCGGGGTAAGATCTGCATTTGAGGTTCTAGAACAGCGGGGGGGGCAGAGGGGGTAGAGGGCTGTGAATGCCAGGTTTTACCCTGCTGTGTGTGGGTTGCAACTTGGAAGGTGTGATGATCTGATGAAGGGAGGGGTGGGGGGGGGGAAGGGGAAGGGGGGAAGAGGATACTTGAATGGAACTGAAACGGAGTCCTGGGTGGTGGTTTCATAGTACGGACTCAGGGAGAGGGGGAAAGCTGCATCTACCGAAAGTATATTCGGGTCTTCTCTTTGCATTCTTGGAAGGCAAGTCGGCAGATCTGCGACATGACATGCAGCAAGCAGTTCCTCAACTCTGAATGCATAACTTACATAGTACTGTACATACATAGTTAGTACCTTATGTATGCAGAGTAAACTAGACTCCCGTACTAGGTACGGAGTAGGTTCAAGGAAGACCGGGGGGGGGAGGGGAGAACGGTGGATAAGACTCGGAAATCATGCAGGAAGGACAAAATCCAGTAGGAGAGGGGGTCAAAACACAATCGAGAGAACAAAGAAAGAAAGTGCAGAGTTTTTTTCGTTTTTTTTTTTTTTTTTTTTTTGCAAGCGACCGCGCGAGCTCCAAAATAAAACAAAAT